GCATTACAGTGCGTGCAGACTGCTTTGAGGCTCGTTTGTCTGATAAATGCTTGTCTACCTCTTGCAGCCGAGGACATACTAGATGCTCCATCATATCCTTGTCCTTTGCAATTTTTCACATCTAATGACCAGATTTGGAGCGCCTCGAGGATCGATGTGGCCACAGCTTCACCTGTCGTCCGTGCCAAACTTACAAATCCAAGAAATTCTTCATGTATACTACAAGTTTCATAGACAAATCGAATTGATGTGCAAAGCTGTTCAGTATTCGAAACATCAGTTGTTTCATCGGCGAGAATCGTGAAGAGAGGTGCATGCTCTGAATTTCACTAATAATTTGGTTCCTCAAATACTCCATTGTTATCGCTATTATGTCATTCTGAATAGTAGGAGACGTATAAGTAGCATTTCTTGCGCACTCGCCTAGGAGTTTCGCAATAATCTCATCTCCTCCTTCTGCACGGAAGTCAAGAAGCGCAAGAAAATTTCCTCGATTCTTGCGATTGTTATCCGTACTGTATTCCATATGACCACGAGGTGCAATATTTTGTTTCCGCAAAATATTGCACTTGATACAATGCTTCTTAGAACCTTGCGGTTGTATTCAATCTGTGCTACTCTTGAAGATTCGATAACGGACGAAATCGCTTTTTCTGGAAAGCGCATCATCTTTATAAGGTTTTCGGCCTAAAGAAGAGCGTCATTGTGATATTTCTTTTTGGAATGCTCTTTTAATATTTCATTTGCCTTATGAAATTTTGTCATGGCGAAACTCTTAAGTGTCCCAGTGTTCGCAACGTTGGAACTTGGTGGAAACACGAGACATACTCGACAAAGGCCCCCGTCTTTGGAAGGACTGTACACTGGCCACGTATATTCTTTCAGCCAAGACATTTGAAACGACCTGTTTTTGCCATATATTTTAGTCTTCGGGAAAACAAATTCTTCGGATGGCGTATAGTCCTTGGTCAATAGCTGAAACTTTTCTTGGTCTGATCAGATTTCTTTTTTCTGCAGTTAGCAGTCCAGCAAAGTCATCAATAGCTTCAACTACAAAAGAAAGTACAACAATTTTAAAGTTGATAGTCAAGGAAATTTTTGTTATATATCTCATGGCTCCTAAATCTCAAACAGTTACAGGGCTAGCTTGACGTCACTGTAACTATTTCTTTATCTAACAACAACAACTTTGTATACAAAGGATTAAATAATCAACAATGAAGAAATAACAAGTGAACGTTACAGATTCCTGTGTGTTTTGTAATGCCTCGCATTTTTTAGTTCTCTTGGCAACGAGAGTGACAATCAGTTCGTTCAGCAGTCTTAGTTCACCAAACATGTTTTCTAGGTAATTCCATTCTTCTATGGTATGACAGTCTAAATCTGGTGTCATGTCAAACTCTGACAATGACAACCGTGGGAAGTTTAAAATTCTAACATATGAAAGGACATCGACATTACAACAACCATCTATCTTGTATATTCGAAGACTAGGATGGCTGAGTGCAATAGCAATCAACTCCTCAGAGTCGAACTGTTCGCACATTCTTAAACTAAGAGTCTCCAGAGCTTGTAAATGAGCATCGCAACTCAAAACACTAATGGCTACCGCATCATCAATATTTATACAATGTTCTAAGTACAACTCTTTCAAATGTAACAGATTGACTACAAAAGAAATGCCTTTTATGTGAGAATTTGTTGACAAAGCTAAAATAACAAGATTTGAGCCACTTCCTAAAGTTCGTTAGCCTGCACAGCAAGCGTTTCCGCGCGAGTTCGTCGAGAAAGCTGAGACGAGAGCAAAAAAAAAAAAAGGAATGAGGGGGGAGGGGGAAGGGAGCGAAGGAAACGCTTGCCCACAAAACCCCACGATTTTGAAAAGCTGCGTTCGCCCACGAACGCAACTTTTGATTGGTGCTGCGCTGGTAGTGTTGATTAAATAGCAATCAACACATCAATCTAACCAGGTTACGTGCGTCGCAGATCTGGTCTGATCTTATTTGTGGTCGCAGATTACAAATGCTTTGGTCTGATATTTATTTGAATCATGTTTGTGCGAAGGTTTATCAGATCTGAGTCTCTTCGATCGAAAGTATAATTGGAGATCGAGTAGTGGAGACTAGTCAAGGCCAATTCAGTATTGGGAATGACGGGGTACGTATCTGACTGGAAAAAAATGGACTGTTTGTTGGAAATAACATCAACGTAAACCAGAACATCGAGTACTAGACAGTAGCTAGAGCCGCCATGGACAAGTGATTGGAAATTGAGCAGCATGTATTGTAGTGAACTTTTCGACACTGGCTAGCCTATGGAGAGCAGCTGCTCTGCAAAACTCATAGCCGGCGGAGTGAATCGTTCCGGACAAATCATTTCTTTGCGACGTTTTGACAAGGTTTCAGATGAAATAAAGCCACATAACGTTAAAATTTTAACTCAACTATAAAGAACAAGAAATTCCGCAGCAATCCCTTAGAGTTTCAACCTTCTTTTATAGTAAAGCTTCTTTTTATTACAGTTTTGCAATCGCGTGGAGCGTGTTTTAGGGAACAAAGTAATTTTTTCAAATCTGGTAATCTATTTGTTATCTATCTTGACGAGCTGTCAATTTACAAATGAACCGAACCGTGAAATATCTAGGGGCGTTTTCCAGAATCGTGGGGCTTGCGGGCAAGCGTTTCCTCTTCTCCCCTCCCCCTCCCCCTTCCAATTTTTTTTTTTGCTCCCGCTCTAACTCTCGTGCTGTAACTCGACTGGAAACACTTGCTACGCAGGCTAAAAGTTCGTGTAACATTACGATTAGTAAACCAAAGGAAAAAAATCTTTTTCGAACTCGCCGTTGAAATATAAATGCTGAAAATGTTTACAGTGCCCCTCAAATATGCCTTTAAAACTATGCCTCGTGTAGAACGAGGAGGACGCCCTGTATCATGTAATGTAAAACGTTTCCATAACACAGCAGTATGGGATAGCTGGAATATTCGCTTGCATGTACTTGACAAGCTGTGAATGACTGATGATAGCGCCGGGTATTGAAGAATTTTCAAAACAATTTCATCTGGAAGATCCAGCAAACCGTATATCGATAAAACAAATATCGAGTGACTACGGTATTACCTCTAGTTTTATCAAAACATCCAAAGAAAATAACGACCTAAACTTACCAGAGGCCGCTTCTGTTGCTGGTGTCTTATCGACTATCTCCGATGTTGTATCGCCGTCGTGTACGTCTGTATTCACCGTCAACAAGAACAAAAACAAAAGTATCAGACAGAAAAACAAAGCCTGCCCTGCATTCATACATGTTCATTTTGAATGAATTTTGAATGAAACTTTATCATTGTTGGGTTTAACTCGCTTGCAAGCTGGCTCCACTTCGACACTTTCAGTGACAACTTGCTCCGGTTGCTCTGGCCTGAAAAAACACACGGCAAACGTAATTTCACGAAAAGCAGGATTCATCTTTACCTCTTTACTAAGAATTTACTCAGGAACCAAGTAATCGGCTCCTGTTTAATTTAACCACGACCTTGGATAGATCCGGTACTTTTTAGTCATAATTCAGGGGTACCCAAAAATTAACGACTGTTTTCTGTAAAATATCTGTTTGGAGAAGCAAGTATTGCCTAGAATTTTCTATTACTTGAGGAAGGCTAAAAATTTCTAGATGACCGTTCCATTCACGTACAAATTTCGAAGCTAACTAAATTCCCTACGATTTTCTGAAGTTTGATTTTCACATTTCACACCCCAGGTTAGGCTATTTTTCGTAGGAAAAAGGAAACCTAAAATTTTCGGATTCAAGAATGTGATGGAGAGAGGAATCAAAAACATTTTCTTTTTCGTAATGCGCTAAATTGCGTCCAAAATTTTCGGGAAAATAATACTGAAGCCCTAAATGTAATTTCGAAAAATACTCAAGTTCTCCTAGGATGACCGAACAGACACAAATTTTATAGCGCCGCTTAGAATTCATTTCGAGAGGTCTAAAAATACTCTGGATAGCCTAAAAAGTGTTTTAAATGAATTCAGGTGGAAACCGTCGTTGGGTGCCCCTGATAATTCGCACCTTGATACTCAACTTTGTGGACAGCAAAATATTAATTAAAAACAAGTCAAACGACTTGCATATATTAAACGTTTTTAAAAGGCTAAACCCTTTTTCGCATCAACTGATTTCAAAAATGATGGTCCAGTTTGTTGTATAAGGCTATTATTAGGGCATCAAAGGGATTTGAAGCCGTCGGTGGCCTCTGCGTTAGCGCTGCCTCCTCTACCAGCCAAGCTATGAAGACCCGGACATTGGGAGCAACCAATTTTTTAGTTTTCCTTAACCCATGAAAGGAATGAAACACAGAATCCGCAGTTCACATAATCTTCATTTTATGTTTCATTTCTTAGCCAGCGCTTTGCTCGCTGTAAGGTAAGGTAAGGTAATGCCTTTATTTAAAGAGGGTAAACACGTGACAGTTATGAAAAAGACTGATAAACTTGTGGTCCTCTTGGTTTATCCTTCCACTACTCCGCTTACGACTCCGACTCCGTCGCTAGTGAAAACCAGCCGTGAGAAAGCGGTAGTTGGCTTATGCCAAGCTGTATATCTTTATTAGGGATGTTAATTAACTTTTTTATTTGTCATCTGTAGTAAAAGTAGTTGTAGGAGTAATAGGCCATTTACAGTTGTGGGCGTAAAGTCCTAACTTTCGAGTGAACATGAGGCTGAGGTTGACCTTAACTTGTTTTGATAAAAACTACTTCCTTTTCTAATGGAAATTATGCATAAGAAATACTAACCTATTTCAGACCAAAAAATGTCATTTTTTACACCCGTTTTCAGACCTGCATGGCCTCTAATTTTCACACCCGATTTCAGACCTGGCCTCTAAGAAATTATGTCAATATTACTCAGATTAGAACGCCCCCCCCCCCTCCCCCCCAGAAAAAAGATTCCTGAAAATTCATGTCGAATTCGCATGTTTCTCTTTCTTTCTTATTCATTTGGAATTGAAACGATAAATACGTTCATACACTCCTGTGGTTCCCTCGATAGCAACACCCGTTTTCAGGACAAAACGGCGCAAAAATCATACCCTTTGGGGGGGGTCACATACCTATAGCTATGTGGGTTATGCAAGGGAGTACCCCTGGGGGTTTTCACTAGCCTGGGCGACACAACAAGGACAAGTGGCCAAAAGATGCCAAAATGCAAATGGATCTCTGTTGTGTTGCTTCAGAAAAGATAGATTCTGACTCCAATGAGCTCCCTATGTTACTGTTAGGGTATGCCGGGCTTAAAAGCTGGGGACTCACCACTACCCTGATAAAAGCGCATAAAAGATTAAGACTAATATTACATCACCGATGAACAGGCCATTATTTTATAGTTACACTATAGAAACGAGGCTGGAGTTGACCTTGTTTTGATACAACCCTTCCTGCTTCATTATGTAAATCATGTTATTCTGATGCTAACTAGGATTTGGAGAACCGGGCGGCACACCCCTACCAAGCATTCCCAGGAGTACCCCCCGGGTGAAAACCGCGAGCTACCCAAGCTAGGGATGATTAAAGCGACCTTTTTCTCGTGAATATGTTCATCCTAAGAAGTTAAAAAATAAAACGAATTTTTATTTCCTTTTAATGAAGGGCAAAAGGGGGAAAAGGTAGAGGAAATACTTTACAATAGCAGCATTTCAGCAAATGATCTGTAACGCAGTGTGGACACATTCAAAAACGGCGTTTTTAGCTTATGTTTGCCCAACAGTGGAGCAAAAAAATACATAGCTGTCTCAGTATAAGGTCGAATGCCATGCCGCAGCTTTGGACCACTTTCTTGTATCGCAACTCGAGCGAGTTAAGAGCCGGCGCAATGGTGGTGGTGGGGAGAGGGGGAGGGGGGCTTTGAGGGGGCATAGTTATGAATTCTCTCTTGTTATGAGACTATGCACCCGGTAAGTGGAGCCACCGGGAATTGATCTAAAGCCCCGTGCAAACAGACGCAACATTGTTGGCCAACAACTTCCAACATTGTTGGGAGTCGTTGCGTCCGTTTGCACGTAGCTAAAAGTCTGACCAGTTTAAACTTTGTACAACAACTCCCAACAACACGCAGAAACGTGCAACAGGGTGTGCGTTGCTTCCGTTTGCACCGAGCTTGAATGTAGATATTAAAGCTTTTCTTTGTGCTGGACTATGCGGATGACCTCAATAGTGTATGGAACTGATGGCGACTCTAGGATAGGCAGGGATTTGGTGACTTTAGTCTCAGTATAGGGTAGCAAAAAATAGCTGAACTACAATCTTGGACTAAATCAGGACGGAAAATTTATACCCGCACCCCCCCTCCCCCCTCCACTCCCACTCAAATCAAGGACGCAAAAATGGCCAGTTTTGGCTTTTGCGTGCCTTCATCCTTGATTTGGGTGGGGGGGGGGGGAGGGGGGTTTGTAGCCTGCGAACAGCAGACGCATTTCCGGTCGTCGCTTCTCTCCCTTTTGGCGGAGGCCAGAGAAGCGACGACCGGAAATGCGTCTGCTGTTCGCAGGCTAGGGGGTTTTCTGTTCCGTTTTATTTTGTCCAAGATAGGAAGTCGAGTTCCAGTGTCCCAACGACTCATCTTCACCCCCTCCCCCCCAAAAAACCCCTAAGTTACACCCTCCGGGAATGTTTGTTTTACCTTTTTTTTTTTTCATATTTTGTTTCCTTGTTCGTCATCGCTTTTCCATTGCATCATGTCAGTTTGCCGGCTATATACATTTTGAATGTGGATGAACAGTGCTAGATCAAGAATTCGAAAATAACGACCTCGTTTGACGGCACATACTACGGTTGACTCCAGGGAGGAGGCTACCGTGCTAGCAGTTTACGCGTGCTCTATTTCAAGCAAAGCAAATATTGAACAAGAATTGCCTGCGATTTCCGGCGGAAGTTGGAAATTTGTCAAGTAGGTCATTGCCTAACTCCAGGGGGCACGTTTTGCTCCACATTTTTAGAGTGCTTAAACTCGTCGCTGATCATGAAGAGCTAATTTTAGGCAAATCATACTTTAAGCGTGTAAGCAACGTTTAAGAAAGAAATCTTTCAGCAAGAAATATAACATTGTGACGGAACCGATATTCTTGAGGCAGTTTACGGATGAAAGACAACCAAATCCAGTCTCACACAACCGCCTTTCTGTAATTGACGATGAGATCTAGACGTTTCTAACATAGACACGGCACATGAGGTAAGTCAATTTCTCGAATTTTACCAGACTGGAATTTTACAATACATTTTACGAACAAGAGAACCTAATCACGCAAAAAAAGTGATTTCACAAACGGTTCGAAACACCAACTTGAGATTATTATGAATCTAGATCAACTTGAAAGCTACATAATTAACGACTACGTCCATTGTCTAAAATTGTAGATATTGGCGGGGAGATTTTTAAACACGATTTACCAGATTTCATACAGTTACAGAACAAGAGAGTGCAGTTTCCTTTTTAATTCAATGGAAGTCATTGCATCCAGAACTCAAGATTGTAGACCATTATAGTTCCTTCACTTCAAGTTACTCACCATAACTGTATCTCCCGCTGTATCTACCACATGGTTTAGTGTATCTGCTTTTTTCAAATACTTCTTTGATTTAGAAGGCTTTCGATTTAATATTATCATAACAGTAAACAAGTGATAATAGAGTAAGCGATTAAGCCCTTCTTCACGAGATCTCCTCACACGTGCGCGTGTATCGGTGTATCGGTCTCCGATAGTACGTAATTTGACCGTCTGAAAAATCAGACTCTCTCGTCTGTCGAGCGTGAACGTAAAAACTAAGCAAAAAAAGTGCCCTAGGGAAAAATGTCCACATGAAATCTGGTGGCTTGATTTTGAATGTTTCTCCGCTGGAAAAAGAGTACGCTACAGTGTGCAAAGAAAATTGTGTCCGACAGCCCGGGGCTGGTAGATTTTGCGATCGGGCTAGTGAATTCTGTGCTTAACTTGCCCGACGGGCAAGCGAAGATTTTTCGGAGAATTAAAATTACAAAAGTAGTGTAAGACAAATGTTTTAAATTCCTAATAAATTCCTGTGGACCGAAAGTCGCTCCGACGAAGTGAAATCTGCATAAACAAGACGAGGTATCGCATTACATGTCAGACGAGGCGCATAAAGTAAAAGCAGATATTGAAAAAAACTTTGGAGGTAAATGTTGCTCGTGACTAATTCTTACTGGTTCAGAAAAAGCTATTTTTCTAAACTCTGCTTCATAATCATTTGCAAGGAACGTAAACAAAAGGTTTTAATCCTGAACTCAAGTGAGAAATTTATTATTTTTTTTAGCAAATATTCGTCACGTGCGTTTTAATATGGTAAATTCTAAACACCGATGCTGTGCTTGTTGATTTTTTCGGGCTAGTAAAAATGACTTTCGGGCTAATAGATGTTAGTTACAGCTTGCCCGAAGGGCAAGCTGTGAAATTAACTTTCTTTGCACCCTGACGCTATGCGTCTATATAAATTTGCTGAGGCCATTCGGTTATGCAGGCATTTTGCTTCATTTTGCAAATGCGATGTAGAAAGAACATCGTGCTAAATGAAAATTGGGTTTAAATAAAAATAGAAATGAGTCAAGAAACTGAAAGAGCTGTTTTTATCGCTGCCACGTCCACGCAGTTTTTAGCTCTTTGCGCTTGTTTTGGAGATAAATCGTTAACAGAAAATTCAAAATTTCAGAGTGGCAAAATAGAACATCTGGTATATCGCTGGTAATGAAATTTCCAGGGGAAGGTAATTGTTCTATATCCTTGACGTATAGAGAGGCAATATTCGTAGAGAAAGAGAAGCATGTAGTAATAATGGGAAAATGATTCCTAACAAAGATCATCGCCTGTGATTCCCTGACCTCTGCTAGCAGGGAACGTCTGTGATAGTGTAGCCTTTCGCGTTCCTTTCTACTTCGCTCCGCTCCCCACTATCCTAACCATCTTAACCCGTGGAACAGGCTTGCCCACTGTGCATCAGGTCTCTTGTCGGTCTAGTCGTGTGTCGGTCTTGAGTTCCCGGGTCTTGAGTTCGTAGTACTGATCACTTAGCTTGAAAGAATTCTAATTAGACCCTATTTTAAATACCTAGTTTTGTTTAACAAGGAAAACCCAGTGCTTGTGTTGAAGGGGGAAAGTTGGCAATTAACTCGTGAGTTAACCTGTCCCAGGCTCACTGGTAGCGGCGCGAAGAAAAATGGAGCGCAATAAAATTGAAAACGAGAGAGAGGAAGAAAGTCCCTCCTCTACTTTTGATCGTTTTCTTTACTTCGCTCTCCTCCCCCGGGTCTCCTCCCCAATATATGAACGCCTGGAACAGGTTTATTAGTCGTCATGGTCTCCACATTGGGGGTAGTTTTTCTTCTTATTTTTTCCTAGTTCAGGAAAATGCTTCAACATCAACTAGGGTTACCATGGTAAACTAGAATCACCGACACCTAGCATGGCGGTTTTGTCGGGAGAACAACAATCTCCTCGCGGTTTCTCTGCCCTCGCCCCGCTTTATTACTTTGTGCTCCCAACTAAAACCGCCATGCTACGCAGACTACCCACACCTAGATATGCTTCATTATCACCTCTAGTGTTATTATTTTTAGTTATCTATTTTTGATAGTATTTAATTCAAAAAAGAATAAATTTTGATTTGCCTTCGCCAAATTGAATTCCAATCCCCCTCCCCCTCCTCCACTGTCCGCGTACCTGACCGAAACAGAGGGGAAGTCTCGGTGGATTTTGATTTTTATCCGATGACTACGTGAGAACAGAAAGTATACCCAGTTTGATAAATTTTGGACACCTTTTTCACAATATCGCCCGGAATATATATCTTTGATCGTTCAAAAATCATAGAAACACGGAAGCTTTTAAAAACATGGATGAAACAATAATGATCATAGGAATTAAGACCGGAATTTTTATTTCAGTTTTCACCGTAATTTCTGGTAGCCTTCAAGTTTCTAGTTTCTAGTTTCTAGTTTCTGCGCGGGTGAAACTAGAAACTTGAGCCGAAAAAACCGGATGCTCTCGCAGGCTAAATTCCTGGTAGTCTGCCAAAAATATTGGCCTGTTGTCTTAAGCTGCTTATCTAATCTTTGATGAGTGGCTCCTCATGTTACACAGAAGTCACACTGTATGGTGACCTTTTCAGCTGAATGTTTGGTTGCCTATTGTTTTTAAGGAATAGCTCAAAACGGGAATAAAAGAAGGACGGTCGCGTCGCAGGAGCAGCGGATGTGACAGCCTCGTTTCTGAAACCACAGCCCTCGCACCCATTTACTGAAAAGCATTTCCTGGTTAACTAGAAAGCTGCGAAGTGGAATAGGAGCGGATTTCATCATGAACGTGCGCCGCAAAAATTTCATGGCTATGCGTTTGACCTTTCTTCTTCTCGCTTCGATATATGTTGTTGGTGGAACAACCTCGGCTTCTGACAGTAAGTGAGGTTTTGTTAGTTTTAAAATTGTAAAGCGGTAAGCTGTCTTGTTCCGTGTTAGCTGCTACCTTGGGTGAAGGAGGGGGGCGGTCTGCTCAACAAAGTTTAATACGGGGAATCTGTCTCCAGGTCCGAAACCTTACCCTTTTGGTCTTTTATGTAGCTTTCCATTTTATGTACAGAAAAGGCAAACCCTTTTATGTTTCTCCTATTTAATGGTAACCCTTCAATATACCTTCTTAATAAGAATAAATCACAAAACAGGAAGTCTTCTTGTTCTTGTAATTTTGGTCTGACGTTTATTAATAGATTCAGAAGATATAACCATGAGGCGAGTCTTCGAAGCATTTTAATTAAAGGACCTTTTAAATACTTCAATGTTTGATTTTACAACCCTTTTAATTACTTCCTTTTAATTACGTCTGAAAAAGGTACCCCTTTAATCAGGCGAGGCCTTTCCCTAAAGGGTATTATTAAAGGAAGTGCTTCCCCCCACCCCACACACACACACCCCGTGGTTGAGTGATTTCTTTTCCTGTGACCTCATTTAATCGATTATTATTTTTCTCCCACGTCCTGGCCTTTTCAAGTCCTTTGCTATTACAAGCAATGCATTCCTAACTGAAATGAATACGGAGTACTTTCACAACAACCGAGTTAGCGTTTCCAATTGAGTCATTGCGCGGAAAAGCTTGCTACGCAGGCTACAACCGAATGGGAAGTGCAAGAGACATCAGTTTTATTTTTTCCTGTTTGAGTATTAAATCATTGTCCGGAATACAATAAATAAAATACGAAATACTGGTTGTTTAAACCTATCTGGATCTGGATAAGGCAACCCAGAAAGAGGAAATCTTTAGACGACTAAATATTTGTGACAGGGTGCTCAACGTCTTACTAAACTTAAGTGTAGAAAGTGCAAATTTTGGTGGTCCCTTTGAAAAGATTTACCCATAAAAGTATCGCAAAGGGTAATGCGTGAAGAAACATCTATCGGTATTTATTTGCCGTCTTTTGTTTTAAACACAACTCAATCAGTCTACGTTCACTCGACCGGTTGAAAATTCGTTTGTTTGCATGGGTGTTCTGTTCACACTGGAACACCTTACCCGCACTAAAATTTAGACGCGTAGCCGTCCCGTGTGAACAATGTGTCCGGTCCAATTTTTACAGCCGGTCGAAAAGTCGTTCGGTGCCGTCTGAGAGTTAAAACTTGTCATCTTGCCACCGGTCAGGTTTTCTTTTTTTCTTTTTTTTTCTTTTCCTTTCTTTCTTTCTTTCTTTCTTTTTTTGTTTGTTTTTGCTTGATAAACGGTATACAAAAGACTGACATTTTGAAATCAGGTCTGGTGCGAAATCATTCACTTGACGGGACTGTGGAAATTCGGTTTACAATGCCTCTTCCAGCTTTGATGGTGTGGAGGAAAACCACCTGTTTTTTTCTTAATTTTAGGCATTTTTCCAATGTTTTGGAGGGTTATGATATTCTACTCCAAACCCCATTGTCGACCCTGTCTATTAAAATCTAAGCACAAAAGCGAATGGCGTCGAGCCAGTGTTAACAGTGATCAAAATGTCAGGGCTGGCTAGGGTTTTTTGGTCGATAATTCGATAAACGGCAAGTTTTTTAAATCGGGTCTGATACAATATCATTCACCTGGCGTAAAATTCGGAGAGGTGGTTAATTATGTCTCTTCCAGCTTTGGTGGTGTTGAGGAAAATTTTCTATTTATAATTTTAGCATTGTTCTAATTTTTATGGTGTAATGATATGCTACTCTAAACTCCATGATCGACCCTTTCTATTGAATACAAGCACAAAGGCGAGTGGCGTCGTGCCAGTCTTTGTAGCGATCGATCCTAATCCTTCATGTACTAAAGTTGTTTTTAACTGCGAATTGCAGGAAATTCCAGCATTTGAGTTATTTGACATTCCATGAATAAAAACAAAGTGGACCGGTGAGAAAAAACGTAGCAATATCGCCTTGTTTTTCTCGTCAAGGAACTCAAAACTTGCGCGTGTATATTGGAAAATTCACAAGTTTTTCTATTAAGTTTGCCCTTGTAGTTTGTTTCTGAGCCCTCTAGTTAAGGAAAATTTTGCGTGAAGAACAAAATCTGACCGTGTAAATGAGCTGTCAAAGACACTTGTCAAGGAACGCAAGAGTCTATCTTTTTGTCGAGGGTCGAGGGTCGAGGGTTCCAGGTCGAGGGCGAGGGTTCCATGTCGAGGGTCGAGGGTAACCTTTTTTTTTCCAAAATTTTTTTTTTTGGAAAAGGTAACAATCGATGCATTAAAAAAATAAGAAGAATTTAAAAAACAAATGGCGCGTGAACATCTTGTAGTTGTTGGGTGGCGGGGGGGGGGTTGGAATAGAGAAAAGCTCCGAGACATCTCAATTTGTTTTCGAAGAATTACATTTATAACACCCCGGAAACCCATACCAGAACACGTTTCTTGAAAACAATGATTTTTGCCGTAAAACAAGAATGAGTGCGTTGAATTATGAATTTCTGGTCCAACCAACAAGAATGGAAGGAAAAAACTCTTATTGTGTTGTAAAATGTGTCATAACATGTGTCATAAACGAACAATGCAATCGTTGTGTGTTTCCACTTTTGTCACTTTTGTCTGTCGTAGAGGTGTTGAGAGACAACAGAAAGAAACTCTCTTCTTATCCGAAGACGAAGAAATTAGAAAAGTTCTCGAGGGAAGTGGGGGCCTGGAGTTGGAAAATTTTTTTCTTTTCCGCTACCATTTTCTACCACTAGATCCCGTAATTGAAATAACAATAGTTTTTGAAACATGACAAACTGACGAGATTTAGGACTGTATATCCTCCAGTGATGGCTGACCTGAGATTAATGGCCTCCCTCAAATAATACCCCCCCAAACTTAAGGGAAATTAATATGAAACACCATGGAAAAAAATCTAGCTAGAATCGCTTCATAAATTCAAATCAAGATGTAACACTGTACCCGCCAGATGTTGTTATCGAGTCCCACTGAATAGCCATGTAAGGCAGATTCTTGTTGGTTGGGCCAGAAATTCATAATTCAAAGTACGCATTCTTGTTTTACGACATTTTAATTTTTTTTACGACACTTTTTTTTGGAATCAGTGTTTTCAAGTAACGTGTTCTGTTCGTGGCATTGGTTTCCGGGGTGTTATAAATGTACTTCGAAAACAAATTGGGATGTCCCGGAGCTTTTCTCTATTTCAAACCCCCCCCCCCCCACCCAACAACTAGCAGGTGTTCACGCGCCATTTGTTTTTTAAATTCTTCTTATTTGTTTTAATGACATTGATTGCATAGATTATTACCTTTTCCAAAAAGAAAAATTGGGAAAAAAAATGTTACCCTCAACATGGTACCCTCGCGTGGACATATCCACACATATTAGCTCTACTTGTTGGGTTGGGAGGGGAGGGGGGGGGGCAGAACACGTTACTTGATAACGGGAATTTCAAAATAACCAATAAAGGACATGCGGCTAACCTAACCAGTTTTTGGCTAGGCGGACCGACCCATCTTCATGAGATGGAGGCGATGAAAAACGAAACATATTATTTTATTGAAAGTTCGCATAATCGGTCTGCTTCGATCTGATCGCTGTTCGTGAATAAAAGCTCCCCTTTTCGTGCAAAATAGGAAATAATCGCTGAAGCCGTTGTGCTGAAAGTTTTTGTGCAGACACCTCTGATTTCTGTTTGAAATAAAGATGTGTACAAAATTAGTTTCGCCACATGACTTCCTATTGTCCCAGTGCCGCCATCAACTGCGCCGATAAGTTCCTTTTGTGTTTCAGGTTTTTTCAAATTTCTGCAGTGATACACTTTTTAAGCTGCAGAACATAACGTTGGTAATTGAAGGAGTTTATTATTGTGGCGCGACTCGGGCGATAGCATGAACCATCTACGCACCAACGTACCTAAGTCACGATTTCCGGTGTCGGTGATTGTTTTAATGACATTGATTGCATCGATTATTACCTTTTCCGAAAAAAAATTGGGAACAAAAATGTTACCCTCCACATGGTACCCTTGCGTTCCTTTTGTGTTTCAGGGTGTTTCAAATTTCTGCAGTGATACACTTTTTAAGCTGCAGAACATAACGTTGGTAATTAAAGGAGTTTATTATTGCGGCGCGACTCGGGCGATAGCACCAAACGTACCTAGGTCACGATTTCCGGTTATTATTATCAATGACTTGTATTTTAAAATTTCATGGCAAGTTTCTACTTCATTGAAAGCACGACAATTCGGTCGCATACAGAATCTGTGAAATATCCATATTCAAACTACCCCACTGAACAGCCAAGCAAGGCAGAGAGGAGGCAGACGTGACTGAAATATAAGCCGCGAAGCAGGGGGCACCCAACCACGGTTACCTCCTAAATGCATTGAAAACACTTTTTCGCTTATCCAGAGTACTTTCAAATCTCTAGAAATACATTCTAAGCGGCGCTATAAAAGTTGTATCTGTTCGGTCGTCCTAGGGCAACTTGAATCTTTTCGAAATCACTTAGGGCCTCAGTATTACTTTCCCGAAAATTTTAGATGCAATTTTAGGTTTTACGAAAAAGTGAGAATTTGTCTGACTCCTCTCTCCATCGCATTTTCTACTCCGAAAATTTTAGGTTTCCTTTTTCTACGAAAAATAGTCTAAGTTGGGGACTGAAATGTGAAAAACTAAACTTTAGAAAATCGTAGGGAATTAATTAGATACGCTACGAAAACTGTACATGAATGGAACGGCCATCTAGAAATTTTTAGCCTTCCTCAAGTAACAGAAAATTGTAGGCAATTTTTGCTTCCCCTGCCTACGCTGTATGACATTTTTTTTTTAGGCACAACCTGTCGTCCTTCACAGGAAGGGAGAAGGTTCTTCACTTTTTAAGCGAATTCGAATTTTAATAAATCAACAACAACAACAACAACATCACATTTTCTTTATGGATGTCTCGGAGCTTTTCTCTATTCCAACCCCCCCCCCCCCCACCCAACAACTACAAGATGTTCACGCGCCATTTGTTTTTTAAATTCTTCTTATTTTTTAATGCATCGATTATTACCTTTTCCAAAAAAAAAAAAAAAAAAAAAAAAAAATTGGGAAAAAAAAATGTTACCCTCGACCCTCGACATGGAACCCTCGCCCTCGACCTGCAACCCTCGACCCTCGACCCTCGACAAAAAGATAGACTCGGAACGCAAGGGGTAAATTTTGCAGCTGAGTAGCTTTTGAGAGAAAACGTCATTTGGTGATGGAGAGATGCTTTTGGCGCTTTGCCACTCGGGGCTGGGTTTTGCTCCCTTATTTTCTGTCTTCTGGAGCAGAAAACTAAGGTCGCCTAAAGTTTTTCATTATAAAACGCCACCAAATAAGCAGATGATAGATAAAAATTCTCAGAAATAATTTACAAAAATCAACAGGTATTAAAGATCTCACAACTGTCGACATAGGATAAACAGTAATGTAAACCTCATCATTCCGAACAAGAATTACTTAACCAGCTAAATATATCAGTCACTAGGAAGTAAGGTTTCTAACACTCGCGACGGCTTCTCGCAGGTACGTTTACCTGAGGAGACCAATCCACCCTTCATCCTTGCACGGCTGTTTTTTTGTATTATTTTTTTTCAATCACTTCACCACGAAGAAAAATCACTTATCTGGGCAAGTTTTCCAAGGGTAAAATAGGTTACACGAGAAAACACCAGTCTTCGTTTGTACACTCAGTGACTGTAAAATGAAAAGAGCTAATCATTGCCCCAAAGTGGGGCCGAAACGACTGGGTCCATGGGCCAATTAAGCCTCACTGAAATAGGGCTGTTTTGGTACCAATTTGGAGGATTATATATTTTTGCAAGTTTCTTTCTTTATTTTGTTCTAAGAAATTCGTCAACTAAACAGCACAGAACATCCGACGACCGCATAGATCGTTTGTTAATGAAAAGGCTACAAAGGAAGATCGACTAATTGCATTTAAATTCAAGATTACGTTGACTGTATAGCCTCCCCCTCCCCTCAGAAAAAATCAGGCTAACTTAGATTTATATACAATGTTTCAGAGTCTCGAAACCCTCAAGGATGGTTTTTGTTGTATACTATCTTTCTGTGCATTCTCATTTCGATTTGCGGTTATTGGAAAGAATTCGTACGAAATGTTAATCTCTAAAGAGATAATCCGATTTTCGTTAGGAGCCGGGTTTAGTAAGCTTGAATAAACTAATTTGCATCATCACTACTATAACCCTTAAACTATTATGAGAACAAAAAAACATCATAGGACGCGTTTTCATAGCTGTATTTTCACTTAAGGGGCCGACCATTTAACTCTTGTGGGGGGGGGGGAGGTGATTTTGAAAAAAAAATTTCCTGCAAGCGCTTTTCGGAAGAAAAAAATTGCATGCAGGACAAATGTAATAGAAAGCTTATGGGAAAAAAATATCCTGCCCACCAGATTGCTAGAAAAAAGAAATTCTTGATGACAGAAATCACCCCCCTCCCCTCAAGAGTTAAATGGTCGGTCCCTAACACATCTTGTTCTGTAATAAAATATATATATAAAAAAAAGATCATTACCGAATTTGTTTCCTGTAGGATTGTCTGCTCCTGTTATTTTCCGTTAATCCTTTCCAACGGCTGAATCATCAGTACACCAGAGGAGAAGAATGCTTGCACTGTAGCTATAGAGGGAAAGTAATGTTGTGAAAATCTTGAGTCCATTTACTATTTTTTGAGTAAATGCGTTAGTGTTAGGGAAAGTAATGGTGTGAAAACCTTGAGTCTATTTACTATTTTTTGAGTAAATGCGTTAGTGAAACCACTTCAATCAATAAATAAATGCATAAAATCTGGTCACAAGGCGCTTAATAATTAATAACAAATTCACTATTGAAATATAGCTCGCGAAGAAGTTCTCAATTTGGGGAAGTCGCGAGAAGTCAAGGATGAGCGACACGCGAAAGGAAACAGAGAGCAAGAGACCGTTGAATATAGTAAAAGCCCACATATAAGAAAATATATTTTTCCAACTTAGCCTAAATAGGCTCTTATAAAAATGGTATTTAGTGGGATTTTAGGGTACTTAGGTTCTTAAATAGGTCCTTAATTTGATAGGGGCACTAGCGATCAGCACAGATAACTAGTCTAGGGCATACAGTGAAACCTGTATTAAGCGGACACCCTGTATTAAGCGGACAGTAGCCGAGGTCCCAAAATTAAATTCCCTTATTTACTTTAAATGAAACCTTTATTAAGCGGATACCTCTATTAAGGGGACGCGGACACCTAAAAAGTACCTGAAATGGTCATTTCTATTGTTGCCAACCTTTATTAAACGGACACTTGTAATCAAATTTCACTACCCAACATGCCAGACACCGGAAATGCGAAAGATTACCTCGAATTGCCACCCACAACTTTTTCCATTTTTACATTAAAAAACGTGACTTGACGAACTTATTTGATTAGTTTCACAGTACAGTGTTGTTTTCTATTTCGTTTTGTTTGTATAGAGCTTGTTTCACTTAACTGATTTCTTCAAATATGAGTCAGTGCCGTAGCCAGACCAAACGGCCAACCGAGGCAGGCGGGAGTTGCTAGGGGGGTTCAGGGGCATGCCCCCCCGAGAAATTTTGAACTTTAGTCTCTCGGAAATGCGATTTGCAGCGTTTTCTGGGCCTTTCGGTAACTTTTTTTCGAGTTAATTTAAGTGGAATTTAAAAAGCAATAATCAGAAACAAGCTACATAATCTGGGTGACCGTTAACCTCGCCAATGGTTTTGATCAGTATTTGTTCAAAAAAAAATTGAGTTAACGTACGTAGCCCCTTGAGATCGATGATATGGTAATTTTTTCATAGTATATTGACTGAATTGCTGAATTCTTTGTAATATCATGATGCGTTAAAAATATCCGATGATCGCTTATGTAAAATAAAAATGATCGGCGAAATTCGTCAAAATTTTACCGAGGCGAGTGCCTCGGTTGGCCTCATACAAGCTACGGCGCCGTGAGTTACAATCTATGTTTATGGTACTATGACCAATTGGTCCACTTTGATAAAGAAATTAATGCAAACGTATATCGTCAAAGTCTCTGGGAGTATATTCTTAACATTTCCACTGTTCATTTGAATGGCATTTGACATCTCATATGACGTTATCTATCGAAACCTGTATTAGGCGGACACCCTGTATTAAGCGGACACTACAGCATTCTGAAAAGAGAGACACGTGTATCTAGCTGTATTCTTAATAATTGCATTGTGTAATCCAGTATTCGCAAAGACATGATATGGTTTTCATTATAGTTCATTGTTTAAATCTTACTGACTGAAACCTACGCTAAATTTTTTTTCTGTATTATCCTCTCTGCCTTCATTTTTGTAAAATAAGAACCTATTGAAAATTTAGGCTAAATAGGTTCTTATGACAACGGCTGTGTGTAAAAGTGGGACGGGGACATCGGGACGCGTGTGTGGGGACTTGGGACTTGGGGACGCGAGACGAGGGACTTGAGGACATCAAGTATGGGACGCGGGGACGTTTGGGACGGGGACGCGGGGACGTCAAATAAAGGGACGCAGGGAACGCGGGATGTGAGTGATTATTGCACTTTTAGGAGGTAAATGCGATATCAGTCACTTTCCTCGTGAATATGTTTTGGTGAAGGCAACCCACCCTGCCCTCCTTAGGGTTTGTCCATGCCTGTTTACGAAGCGAAGACTCGGCGAAGACCCCCTGCATAGAAGAAAGTGAAACCGTTGTCCTGGTCTTCTTGCTGATGGAATATTGGAGCCCAAAGCAGGGTAGGGTGGTTTGTAGGCTCGATTTCCGCCGTCTCCTGGGTCCGGTCTTTGATGGGTTGTGGTCGCCAAAAATTATGTAGAATAACAGCATTCGATTCCAAATAAATTTAAAATTAAGTGGCATAAGCGAGCTTCAAATCCCGAAGGCTAACTGTAAAACTAAACCACGGGGGGATTCAACTATTGTCGCAATTTTTATTCTGTTCTACATATATTTTTAGTGGCAAACCTAACAGTAAATGCTTGCTAACGGTACTTAAAGGTTGATTTCCACTGACGCGTTTTTGGCTATGCACGTTAACGCAAGTAAATTTTAATCACGTAAATAAGCTAGAGGCAAAATATAAATTGTTGAGATTAAACGTGAAGTTCAGCGAAATTCTACTTTTACGCTTACGTGTCTAATGTGGTTTTTGAAGATGGAATCTCACGAAGAAAGAGATATCTCATTTACCTCCGACTTTTGCAATAACCATTCACATCCCGCGTCCCCCGTGTCCCTGTTTTTGACGTCCCCGCGTCCCCATCCCACACGTCCCCACGTCCCATACTAGATGTCCTCAAGTCCCTCGTCTCGCGTCCCCAAGTCCCAAGTCCCCACATACGCGTCCCGATGTCCCCGCCTCCTTGTCCCTGTCCCACTTTTATACACAGCCTATGAAAACGGGGTATAAAATAAAAATTTGGGGTTCTTATAAGTGGGTTTTTACTGTACTTCGTGGTCGTTTACAAGTGAACCTGACATACTTAAATCTGTCTTTCCAGTCAAAGCATCTTGAACTAATTGAAATCTCGCGAAAGCGACGCCTCATAGGAGCGACTTGTTAGATTACGTAAGGCTCGACCATGTTTTTTACAACAACTAAACGATTACTCCCACGCTGATTGGTCGAGAACCATATGGTCAATGAGAGAACAGCATAGACCATCGATATTTTTAACAACTGACAGATAATTGATCGGAGGTCGCATTGTGGGAGACTTTGCCATTGCTTCGTGGCTATAGACATATGTTATCACAACTTGAAGACAATTTCCATTTGATTGTTAAGATAATGCCAGATACTGTAATGGACTAGACCTTGAATGACCTTGCCGAGACATTGAATGTTAATTGAACCAATCAACGCAGAGGATTTACTATAAAGAAAAGAGATTCCGTCTAAATCGACAGAGTAGCTCTTTAAACCGCCGATTTAACAGTTAACAAGTTAGTCGACTGTAAACGGTCAAACTTTACGAAAACATATCGTGGTTTTAACTTTATTTACATTTATATAAATAAATAAGTAAATAAATAATGAATTAGAGGTAGCGCATCCACATGGTGGTTCTTCGTCTACCTGATTCCTGGTCGAATTAGAGTTTGGAAATGTTGGTTTGTGAGGAGAGGGGAAAACCGGAGTACCCGCCAGAAAAACCTCTGGAACCAAGGGAGATAACCAACAACAAACTCAACCCACATATGGCTTCGACGCTGAGATTTGAATCCGGGCCACATTGGTGGGAGGCGAGTGCAACCACCAATGCGCCTCCCTCGCTCCCCTACTAGCAATTGTCTTTGCGTTCGTACGGTGAGCCATAACTTCATAGAGTTCTTTTTACTTTGCAGTCCCACGGAAGCCAACAAACCTTCAAGTCACAAGTGTTCACAACCTCACCATCACACTGACATGGACAAAACCTGCGCTGACCAAAGTGGGCACACCAGTTAGCACCAGTCTCCTTTACAAGGTGACCTACACGGTCATCGGAAGTGGTAATCTACAAATGGCCCTGACCGTGAAAACAGAGAGTGCTAAACTAAACTTGCAGGTTGATAAAACCTACAATGTTCACGTTAGAGCAATTCGCAGCGATAATCATTTAGTACAAAGTGATTGGTCGGACACCTTGAGAGTTGATTCTAAGAATTTGGGTGAGTTTTGATATATGATTTTTTGAAGTTGTACCACAGGCTGCCCAAACTCAGTATGAGAGTTTTTTTATGGTATCATATTGCGTAATCCTCAAAATGGCAGTGATTATAAAGGATTTGTATGGGAATTTAGGTAATAGATTCAAGGAGATAAATAGTCGGTGGGGGTTTCCTATTAAAAAAAACACCCTACTTTAATTACTTGGTTCGTTCTCGCTTTATGCAATTTCCTTTTTTCCCGAGTTACCTGAATTCCCATGCAAATGCTTTCTGTTCGCGGCCGTTTGAGGATTACGCAAAATGATACCACACGTATTTATGATTTAACTCTCATTCTGAGCTTGGGCTGCCTGTGGTCGTACCAAACATTTCTTACGAGCAGATATAGACATAGGCCTGTCCAGTGGGGATGAGGACAGACGATACCAAGATGGGTGACTAGTCCCAATACAATATACTATCCTCCCTTGACGAGACTCAGGTTGTTTATCATGCATTTACATGGGCAAACCGGTCGCTTTGCTGTTTGGGCAACTAATAACCAAATTCAGGACCAGTGAATTTCGACAGGAATCGCGTCTACCATTTGTACAAATCAGTTCCTTTCACCGAAAAACAGCCTCGAAGGCCTAAAACTGGTATCAAAGATGCGATTTTACAAATGTAATTCCGTCCTAAAGCCACTACCACCTTTTCAGATGTTCCCTTGCTCCTGGAAATTTTCTGCTGGAACGACCCAAAAAGTCGTTTTAACTTCCATTTAGTTTCTAACCAGATTTCCCAGAAACTTTTTGTGACTGGTAAACAACCAAAAGTTCCATGCGAGATGCCCCTATACTCAATCCCATAACTTATGAATTCAAAGGTAATCTCAACCCAGGGATTTTCCCTTAAAAATGATTTCCTAAAGAAAAAACCCTGAAGACTATGTTGCATAAATGATAAATTTATTGTTATTATTATTGGAGCTAACTTTCAAAACAACTGCTCCACAGAATGTCACTGATAACACGTAACGCACAAGAGAATCGAAGTTTGACTGCACAATACATGTCACAAAATCTACCTAAGCGGTCCCTTCGGGATTTTCTGTCTTTACGTCATCCTAACCATTTCGTACTTGCGGGCGTAAACAATAGAAACGTCATCATTACCTACCGATTCCTCGCGGCCCCTGTTCAAGCAAATCGAGATTTTTTCTGACATACTGACTGTATATTGCAACTGTCAGTACTTTCCTTAATATACGCGCGAGTTACTAGAGTGCCTCCTCGAGGGCGAAATCCCTCAGGGGGCAATAAAAT